AATGTGATATCATAGTCTATGTGGATATGTGTGGTTGTTTTTTTCTGCTTGTGATGAGCCTTGCTTATGTCTGTTCGCTAGGGAGAATCAACCAGTGGTAATGGTGGAGACCTTGACCGTCGTCTAACAACTACCCCCAACCGAACTCTGATAACCCACCACCCCGAAATGGGTCTACAGACATTGAGAGTAGGACACACCTCTTGATTCGACATTGGTTTCCCTACAAGGCAACCCTCCCCACCATAGGACTGCCATGGTATCACCATGCACCCAACCAACCCCTTACTACTCACCTGCCCGAGAGAGTAGCATCCATCCCACATCAACTTTCCCGCAGGAAAGGCACACGTCCCCACCCGAAACCATGTAGAGGATCATCCCTTAGCTGATATGATGAATGAGCATAGTTGGAGTCGAACTCAGGACCTCCAATTTACTATATCAGAGCTCTACCCACTGAGCTATTGAGGTCGTTAGGCTGTAAGGGCGCTATGCCAGGCTCGGGCCAAGTCGTGGGGTGCAACCTACACCAACCAATTGTGCTCAGGGGAAGTTGTGGGCCGACAAAGTCGAACCCACAACCTCCCCGTTGCAACACCGGAGCTCTGCCCACTGAGCTACCACGTACTTGCTTACTAACTGACCGTCTCGAAGGTAAGACGCCAAGCATGCCACAGGCACTATCGTGGGGGCAATGGGAGTTGAACCCACGACCTCCTGAGTGCCGCTTGAACGCCTTACCAACTGAGCTACACCCAGTTGCATCCTCTTGATTGTGAGAGGTAGGTATGCTTGCAGGGGTCCCCTGTATAGGCTTAGGAGTAGTGCTAGGTAGGAAGTAAGAGGTGAAATTGAGGGAAGAATTTACATGGGAACCAGCCGGACGTCTGGACCGGCATCGAGACAGTCTGGAAATTTTTGAAGGGGTCCGTTGTCCGGTCCAGGACGTCTGGAACCCCCCCCCCAAGTTCAACCAAAAATTTTTTTAAAAAAAAGGGGTGGCCCAGGACGTTTTTTGGATCCTGGGCGCCCCCCAAAAAATTCCGGGACCATTTTTTTTCAGCCTCTTTTCCGCCTGCCGGACAGGGCCTACAGGTCCAGACAGTCACAGCTCACAGAGCTGTTTGAGGTCGGGTGGCGGGCGGGAGGGCGCGCAATTGTGAATCGGCCGTTTTGGAAGTCCCACCCGCTGCCACTGCCTGTTTGGAAGTCCCGCCCGCTAGTTGGCAAACGAGGCAAGAGAGAGAGAGAGAGAGAGAGAGAGAGAGAGAGAGAGAGAGAGAGAGAGAGAGAGAGAGAGTTGTGGTGACAGCGCTGTCAGTCTGAAGAAGACTCTGGAGTTCTGAACTGAACTTCAAAGTTCAAAGCTCAAACTTATAAGTTAAAAGATGACTATGTTTGAGTCTGTGGTAAGAGAACCACCGGAATTGAGGCCTTGTCTGCTGGGCTGCTCCATCTATTGGTGGGGAGCAACACCTGCTGGAAACTGACGGACGTGGCATGTTTTGAAACCCTTAAGGCAAAAAAAACTCGCGCCGGCAAAGAAACCATGCACCAACTCGAAATGAGCAATTGCGGTCGAAAAGTATCTGTTGCCACGGCCGACCCCTGTCGGGCATTTTTTGTTTTTGTTTTGTTTTTCCCTCTGACACCACGGCCGACCCCTGTAAATATGACACACGGTCTGACACCACGGCCGTCGGTGCTTCCGTTGCCTTTTCAAACTCGGCGCGGTTTTCTTTGCCGACACGTGTTTTTTTGGCCCATTGCATTCGATACTCAAAGGTGAAATGAACGTACTTACCCCTTTTTTTTCCCCTGTTTCTTGAGTCTTTTGCCAGCTTTGCACTTTTTTACAACTTTGCATGCCTATTCGTTGAATGTACTTCTTTTTTTTTTTTTTTTTTTTTTTTTGAATATACTTCTTGGTTTGCTGCAAGATAGGTGCTCCACTGTTTGAACTCCGAAGTGCAGTGCCGGTGAGCGTCTGCCGTCCCCACGCTAAGGCGGAGGTCCTACTGCTCTAAGGTTGACTCCTAGTACCCTTATTGCGGACTCCTTGGGCTTCGGTAGCACTCGCGGTTGTAAAGGTGGTGGCGCGTTTAGCTGGATGCATTTGCATTTATTGATTCTGTTTCGTGCTCCTTTTGATTGACCAGATGCGGACGCTAAGTTCGTTGCAGGCTATCGCGTAGGGTGTAGGGTTTAAGGGGTTCAAGGGATAAAATAGGTCTGGCATTTTAATGGGGGGCTGCTGACCAGGGCTGGGCTAACAAATACGTGGTGCTCTAAGAAGGGAGGGTGAAAAAAAAAAAAAAAAAAAAAGAAGGGAGGGGAATCACTAGCAGCTCCATGGGACAATGGAGACCCGAGTCTAAGAAGAGGAAAGCCCACAGCCGCAGGAAACAACAAACAGCGATCTTCATGTTATAAAATGTATTAATGGGACGCTGGACCCGGTTTCCAGCAGGTGCCGCTCCCCACCAATAGATGGTGCAGCCCGACAGATAAACCCTCAATCCTGACGGTTCTCTTACCACCGCCGGGATAGAGGGTTTACATAAGTGCTATTCATGAAAAAAAAAAAAAAAAAAAAAAAAAAAAAAAAAAATTCTTCCATGGGTTTTGCTCTTCTTCTTCTTTTTTTTTTTTAAGGGAGTACAATGCAATAAACACAAGCTTAGGGAGACAACTCAATGCCGTGCTTCACCCACAATCCAGCAGATTGCGTAGTTGGCCGCGGAAGGTAAGCGGGACCCTCGTTGTGACGTTATGTTTGTTTGTTTGTTTGTTTGTTTGTTTGTTTTCTTTTTCTTTTTTCTTTTTTTGACGTTATGTTTGTTTATGTGCGGGCGACGATCAGCAGTCGGCACTGCGGCTTTTGTGCACAGTTTGCAGCTGGCAGGAGTAGGCTGCATTACTGTGGCTGGCTATGGTAACTTACCGCCTACTAGTCGATCTATCCGGGATGTTACCTTCCTGACGGTTTGAACTGGCGACGAATCAATCGCCTTTGAGCTGTTAATTTCAAATTGCCTTCGAGCGATTGATATCCACGGACACTGTTTGAGCACCTTTAGCCGGGAACTTGTGCAGATGGTTGGTGCGATGCCGCTTGCTGCTCCCCTATTGGAGGAAGCCAGACTCCCTCGCTAAGACTTTTTTTTTTCTTTTTCTTGCGACACAGGTCCCATGTTTGTTTGTTTGTTTGTTTGTTTGTTTGTTTGTTTTTAAGCTAGGCTACCAGAGTGGCCCGGGGTCACTTGCCCGGCCGGGCCAAAAAAATAAAAATAAAGTAAAATTAAATAAATATTTTTACAATTTATTTTTTATTTTAAATTTGGTGAACCCTGAGGCAAAAGTTGTGTAGTTTATTTTTCTGCATAACATAGGTTTTTTTT